CTAAATCTGGGCGAATCCTTCAGACATTCCTCGAAATCCACAGTGATCTTCATTTTTTCGCCTGATTAGGTTTATAAACACAGATTAAGAGCTAGCAGGCTAACATTAGCAGCAGTAAAAACACACACAAACAGCTCAAAGTTCAGCTCGAATCAGTCCTGAATCCCAAATAAACTCCACATATGAGCGATGAAGTCGGGGTGTGTTTGTGTCAGATCGCCCGCGAAATGTGATTAAAAGCTGTATTTCCTCCAGCATTAGCGAGTTGAGGAGTGAGTGTGTGAGACTCAAGACGGGCAGTGTCTCAAAAGCCGAGTGCGCTCACTATCTGGACTGCATCACTGGCCAAAAGTTTCGTCCTGAAGGAAAAGGAATGTGATGTTTGAGCAGAACGCAAACTGTCGTGCTGGGACTTCATATGGTGGGCGGGGCTTGTCAACCGATTTTAACTTTTCACGTCATCGGATTCGCTGACGCATGGAGGGCAGGACTTTTTATTGGATGAAGTCTAGAGGGGATACAGCTGCGGATATTCAAGTCAATATAGCATAATTAATATGACACAGTACAACAATAATTAATAATTTACAAATAATTAATATTTTAAAATTACTTTAGGTGTAGTGTTAGACACCAAAAATATTCAATGAGTAATTTAATAAATATGAATAATATGATTACTGTTTACATGATCGGGGTCGACGTTCATTCATTCATTCATTTTCCTTTCGGCTTAGTCCCTCTATTATTATCAGGGGTCGCCACAGGGGGATGAACCACCAACTTTTCCAGCATATGTTTTACGCAGCGGACGCCCTTCCGGCTACAACCCATCGCTGGGTGGGAAACACCCATTCATACTCGGGTAGACACTAATGAACTACAATTATAATTTAATAAATAATAGGAATAATTCTCTGTGTAATGACTGGTTTTATATTACTAGGAGGGTGGGTTTAGGGTTGGGGTAGACATTAATACAATACAGTTAAGGATACTTACTAAATAATATAAATAACTTGCGTTAACTTTTCAACCACAGCTGTATCCCTTCTAGAAACAATTGCTACAGTGAAAAAAATTATTCAAAGATGATTCCTTGGATTTACTCAATTTTTTTACGTTAAGAGGTTGTAAACAATTCATTTGTGTTGGATTTAAACAAAAAAAATAAGTTGAACATTATTAAACTTAATTTGTTTGTTTAAATTCAACACAAATAAATTGTTTGCAACAGTTCTGCGTGCAACACTTTTTTCAGTGTTTTTTCTTATAAGAAAGTCTGAATTATAACAGCGTCACTTTTTTGCCTATTTCATTAATATAAACACTGATCTATAATTGAGTGCTTTATTAATAGGTTAGTGATTATGACTGATTTGTAGTCTATTGATCATTTATTTATGTATAGTTGAAGTCAAAATTATTCGCCCCCCTTTCAATTTTTTTTTCTGTTTTTAATTATTTCCCAAATGATGTTGAACAGAGCAAGGGAATTTTCACAGTATGTCTGATAATATTTTTTCTTCTGGAGAAAGTCTTATTTGCTTTATTTAGGCTAGAATAAAATCAGTTTTTAATTTTTTAAACATCATTTTAAGGTCAATATTATTAGCCCCTTTAAGCTATATATTTTCCTGATAAACTACAGAACAAACCATCATTATACAATAACTTGCCTAATTACCCTAGTGAAGCCTTTAAATGTCACTTTAAGCTGTATAGAAGTGTCTTGAAGAATATTATTTACTGTCATCATGGCAAAGAGAAAATAAATCAGTTAATAGAGATGAGTTATTAAAGCTAAATGATTATAAATGTTGAAGAAATCTGCTCTCTGTTAAACAGAAATTGGGGAAAAAATTAAACAGGGGGGCGAATAATTCTGACTGTTGTTGCGTTAGCCTATTCAGTTTGTATATTACTCTCAGTAATGTTATTGAATAATATGCGATCATAATAAATCAGTTTATATGATTTATTTACGTGTTTGTGGAGAAATATTCTGTCTTTTAGTAGGCAGAGATAAGTTTTTATATTTGCATTTAATAGATATACTTTTATAGATATGTTTAAGTTTTTTTTTACCAAACAAGTGCAATTAGATTTTCACCGTGAGCCATGAATAAAAGGTTAAACATTTATTATTATTTGTTTTTATCCCAAAATCATTCTGATGGTTTTATACAAACCTCTGTGCAGATTATTCAGTTTTTGTATTAATTTCAGTATGCTATTAAATATTATGCGTTATTTATAAGTGGTTTATTTATTGATTTCTCTACAATAGAGTTTGTGAAGTAATAGGATAGGATTAGATTATTAGCATCTCCCTTTAAAACAAACAAATTTGTTATTTTTTTTTCTTTTTGAATGGATATCTTCCCAAAAAATTAAAATTGTCATCATTTACTCAACCTTTACTTGTTCCAAGCCGGTTTGTCTTTTTTCCTTCTGTGGAAAACAAAAGAAGATATTTTGAAGAAAGCTGGAAACCGGTAACTATTGACTTACATTGACATAGTATTTGTTTTTCTTTCTGTGCAAGTTAATTACAGGTAGACTAGCTAATGTAAAATTAAAATAAAATAATAATAATAATTATTATTATTATAATAATGAATTAAGGAAACATGGACTTTCGCCGTTTCTTTGCCTACATTCATTTAAAATTTGGGTCGGGTGTAATAGTACACTACCTTTTTTAGGACTACACCACAGCTCCCAGCCCTATATATGCTGTCTTTTAAACATCTAAATGTTAAATGCTCGATTTTTAAAAAAATAATTTGGAATTAATTGTTCATTTCTAATTCTTTTACAAATGAATCGGTTCTGAACTTTAAAAATCGACTCTCAGCGCCTCAGAACTGAGGATTCGAATCTTTTTTGAATCGACTCCCCAGCCCAACACATACAGCCGAGATGTAAACGTTACCGGTTCTCTTAGCATCCTATTTTTTAACAATAATTCGAGACTAATTGCTACGTTTTTATTTCATAACAGATGATTAAACATAAAATGAGTCGACAAACGTGTTCTTTAAGACAAAACCATCCTAAAATGTGAAGCAGACTGATAGTTGATCCGTCAAGCGCCCTCTGGAGGAAAACGTAAGCTTCAGGAAACGGTAGCGCTGATTTGAGACGCGACCAAGTGTTTAATTATCCTCCCTCCCTAAAAATGACTCACCGCACTGACGGTGCACAACATTTCTGTGCGGAATCAAGGATTAAGTCAGATTAGCTCCCTGCCAGTCGAGAAATTTACTGAGAGAATTATTGCGTTTGACTTCATTGAACTACCAAATACCTCCAGGATCCACACCTGAGGAAATGGTTCAGTCCAAAAACGTGTTTAAAACAAAACAAACATATCATCTCACCTTTAAGCATTTTTTAGGTACATCGATTACCTAAATATATGTATTTTTTTTACATTTGTCTTGTATTACACCGATGAACTCTTACTATCTTTAGAGATTTTAGTGTATTGATCAAGTCTGAGTTGTTTGCTTATGTTCATTATTGTTTATTTGTGAAATGCTGCCATCTAGTGGTTGATTTCCGGCTGAGTAGACGTGCGTTTTCCCAAAATAATGTAAGACTATCATTAACATTAACAGTTACTGATTTCCAGCTTTTTGCTTGGGCTAAATCATCAGCTTAAGACTTTAATTTCCTCCAAACATAATAATAATAGTAATAAATAAAAATAATTAACTTGGATACTCTTAATAAAATCAGTGTCTAATTTCTTTAGTTTCAGCCAAAATATCAGTGTTCAATTGAGTTAATTCGTGAAGTCAGATGACTCAGCTTTTTTATAAATAAAATAAATCAAGTTGTTTAAAAAATTAGCAATAAACAGGATTAATGAACATTAATACAAATTAAGATATCAGTATATGCAAATGAATTATTCAAATATTGCGATATTGGAAGCTATCATGAGACATCTTACATTATTAAAGTTTTCTCTGGATTCACTGAATTTTATTGAGTAAAATGTTAATTGTGACCAGTATTTTGGGTCTGTCTGAAATTGAGCTTTATAAATGACCTGAAAGCTGAATAAACAATTGGGATATTGACTGATCATTTATATTCAATTATCATATGTACGCTAAAATAGGACAGTATTTGGCAGAAATAGAAATAAATGAAAATATGGAATCTTGAGGGTTCAAACTAATGAAATTAGTCAGAAAATCGGATTTAAAGTTGAACAAATGAAGATCTTAGCAATGCAGATTCCTAATCACAGATGGAGTTGTGACATTTTTACACTGGAACATCGACTAGATGTGTTCATGGAGCTTCATTTCTGGCATGAAGAAAAATCAACGGCTTTGAATAATCAATGTTGGGTGGAGTGACCTTTCATTTCAACCTAACAAAATCATTTAAATCTCAGCGAACGCCAATATTTCTGACCAATTGTCACTTTCTGGAAAGAAAATAAAGTAAATTATCTGTCTGTCTATCTATCATTCCATCCAATCAATCAATCAATCAATCAATTTATCTAGCTATCTATCTATCTATCTATCTATCTATCTATCTATCTATCTATCTATCTATCCATCCATCCACCCACCAATCTATCTATCCTTTGCTTTATCGTTTTACCTTTCTACCCATCCATTGTTCATCTATCGTTCTATCTATCTATCCATCTATCTATCTATCTATCTATCTATCTATCTATCTATCTATCTATCTATCTATCTATCTATCTATCTATCTATCTATCTATCTATCTATCTATCTATCTATCTATCTATCCTTTGCTTTATCGTTTTACCTTTCTACCTCTACCCATCCATCGTTCACCTATCTATCTATCTATCTATCCATCCATCCATCCATCCATCCATCCATCCATCCATCCATCCATCCATCCATCCATCCATCCATCCATCCATCTATCTATCTATCCATCCATCCATCCATCCATCCATCCACCAATCTATCTATCCTTTGCTTTATCGTTTTACCTTTCTACCCATCCTTCGTTCATCTATCTATCTATCTATCTATCTATCTATCTATTTATCTATCTATCTATCTATCTATCTATCTATCTATCTATCTATCTATCTATCTATCTATCTATCTATCCATCCATCCATCCATCCATCCATCCATCCATCCATCCATCCATCCATCCATCCATCCATCCATCCATCCATCTATCTATCTATCTATCTATCTATCTATCTATCTATCTATCTATCTATCTATCTATCTATCTATCTATCTATCTATCTATCCATCCTTTGCTTTATCGTTCTACCTGTCTACCCATCCATCGTTCTATCTATCCATCCATCCATCCCCAGATTAAAATTAGACAATCTAAATTATTGAGATTAAAATGATATTGATGTGTGAAGTTAAAACTTTGGTTTTAAGTCGTCTAATAAACGCTACAGACATTACTACAGAATATGCATAACACTGAACAGACCTTTAATAAGAGTGCATCTTTTACATTGATTGCATTTTGATGACTGTGCTGGCAGCTTACTGTCGTGATTTTAGAAACTGTTGTAACACACAGTAGCTTTCACCACTTAAAAACAATCCCAAAGAGCAAACTCATACCAACATTTTAATGACTGACAAATATGCACATCTTCAGAAGGAGAACATGCACATCTATTCAGCATAAGAAAAGAAAAAAAATAACGTCTCGCAGAGGAATTAAATAGAAATGGTAAAAAAAAAACACAAAGAAAACAAATGAGAAAGTTGAACATAATCCTAAAAGTCAAAGTTCTTGAAGCGTTTGAGCATGTAGAAATGCAGGATCAATACTGGATAATTGAGTTCATCATATGAAGCCAGAGGTGTGTGTGTAGTGACTGATGGGACTTTACGTTATAAATAGACGACCAATGAAGAAGTGTGTGTGTGTGTGTGTGTGTGTTTTATATATTCAGCGTGTCCAGCACTGGGTTTGCAGGATTTGATCACATTTCTTGCATCCTTCAGTCGAAGGCAAATAGGAAAATAACTGAACACAGTCGTAATGATGGAAACCAATCATAAAACTATGATTGTGCTTATTATAGGTTTAAATACCACAGTCCCTCAAAAAAGACAGAAAAAAGAAAAATAAAGGCAGATATGCTGTTGAGTAAATGCACTGTTCCTATAAAGCAATGCAGTACCGGTATTTGGGAAAATTTGATAAAACCTGTCAAGAATACATTAATTTTATTATTTTTTATTAATTTTATTTAATAAAATGTAAATACACACACACACACACACATATATATATATATACAGTTGAAGTCAGAATTATTCGCCCCCCTGTTTATTTTCCCCCCAATTTCTGTGTAACGGAGAGCAGATTTCTTCAGCACATTACTGCACATAATAGTGTTAATAACTCATCTCTAATAACTGATTTATTTTCTCTTTGTCAAGATGACAGTAAATAATATTAGACTAGATATTCTTCAAGACACTTCTATACAGCTTAAAGTGACATTTATAGGCTTCACTAGGTTAATTAGGGTAATTAGGCAAGTTATTGTGTAATGATGGTTTGTTCTGGAGACTAGTAAGAAAATATAGCTTAAAGGAGCTAATAATATTGACCTTAAAATGGTGTTTAAAAAATTAAAAACTGCTTTTATTCTAGCCGAAATAAAACAAATAAGACTTTCTCCAGAAGAACAATTTAGGAAATATTTAACAAAAAAAAAAAAAATTAAAAGGGGGCGAATAATCCTGACTTCAACTGTATACGTGTGTGTGCATGTGTGATTTGATCATGTAAATGAAGCACAAATCATAAATTAAGAAATGTTTAGATAATATTTTGTATTTTATAATACTAATATAATATTTTAGATTTATGTCTATATTATAATATTTATATATCTTAAATCAGGAGTTTTTCTATTTTAAACATTGTACATTAATATTAAGCAAAATATTTTTAACATTTAGGTAACAAAATTCTTGTAGGCTGTCTAAGTTTTAGGATATAACATATAATAATAACTGGACTTCTAGTTGATGATTTGGTATCAGAAGTGGCTTATATGAAAGGCGAAAGCCTCTAGATTACACTTATTTTACCAAAATAAAACATGATCATGTCTTGATGTTGACTGATTTGATGAGGGCAGTGCGGTCTGACTCTGCTCAGACTAAAGTCTCATCACTGAACAGAAATAATGTCCAGTATAGAATATAAAGTCCTGCTGCAGTGGAGACAGAATGAATATTGTGTCTGACTCCATCATGAGCTTGGAGGACTGCATCCATACATCTCTGACATGACTCAAACCACTGATTAATAAAGTCATCTGGAATGAAGAAGAAAGCCTTCAGCAGGATCCCAGAGCTCATCAAGAGTCTTTGTTCATCTTCAATGCCTCCTCCTTCATCAGCTCAATAATGTTCATGTCTGGTGACTGGGCTGGCCAATCCTGGAGCACTCTTTGCTTTCAGGAGCTTTGATGTGGAGGCTGAAGTATGTGAAGGAGCGCTATCCTGCTGGAGAATTGTCCCTCTCCTGTGGTTTGTAATGTAATGATCAGCACAAATGTCTTGACACCTCAGGCTGTTGCAGATCTCTCGCACGCCCCCATACTGAATGTAACCCCAAACCATGATTTCTCCTTGACCAAACTTGACTGATTTCTGTAAGAATCTTGAGTTCCAGTATGTCTTCTGCAGTGTTGGTGATGATTGGGATGCAGATCAACATAAGACACATCAGAGAAATGCACCTTCTGACACTTTCACACATGATCAACTAGAAGTCAAGGTATTAATAATTGATTTTCCAACTGAGATCAAGCACAAGACTTTTGTCAGGTAGTGTAAGTGCTAAAAACGGTTAATTCAAACCCTAATCTTAATGGTACTATAATAACATATCTCTGTTTAAAATATAAAATAATGTTAGCTTCTGCTGCCGAATATAACCCACGCAAGTTCCTGTCAGGTTTTGCAACACTGACCCATTTTGCCTTGTTTTAAGCACACTGTGCGAGTGATCATGAACGTACAGCAAAAAATAAACGCAAAAGGATCTGCTGGAGTAAACATATCAAAAAGATTTCTTATTTTATTTGGTACCACAGGATAATTATATTCCTCATTAAAAAAAAGAAAAAGAATTAAACAACCGCATTATAATGGCAAAAAAAGGCAATCAAAACAAGTTAACCAAGACAAAGAGCTTCAGAAAAGCTGCTGTAGTTTTGGGTTCAGTCTACCAGATCAGTAGTTTTATCACTAGTAGTGTAATAATCGCCCATTAATGGATACACAGGGGAGAAACGATTAGTGCCAATGCAGTTAAGCATGGTTTATAGAAGCCATGCATACAGTAGAGCTCATGTGTGCGGTTTAAGACCACACCAGTCCCCTTTTACCAGTGTAAAACCACCTGCTAGTACAATACTCGGGTCTGTAACGGGTCAGTATGAGCGGCGCCGGGGAAAACAGACAGCGTATGTGTATATGTGTGTGTGGATGGGCAGATGGGGAACAGCGGCGCTGGGGTCAAAGGTCAAGCACACTTCACAGTGGCCTGGCAGTTGTTTGCACGAGTCTCCAACGCTCTCGGGAGTCCAGGAGTCGCTCTTTTTTTCCTAGCGTGACAACAATAAACGTTTTGGCAAATAAGGGAGCTGGTTGATATGCGTGGCATTGGTGGAAACAGGGTGAACCGCTGACGACACACACTCTGCGCCTTCCAGAGGTTCATCAGAAAAGGCAGGAGCTGAAGGACTAATCTGGACATCTCTAGGAGTCCAACGAGTCCGCTGAAACAGACAGAGAGTTGGTTTAATTTAGCATACTAAAGTACAGATGAAATTAAAACATGCCATGTTGATTTAATTAGCTTAAATAGCTAGTTTTGTGATTGATCTGTGCATGTCATTAAGAAAATTTAATATTTGCCCCTAAAATCTTTCATTTAAATCTGAAAACTTCCTCTTTGTGTTGCATTAAATTGTCAGATTAGGTCTGCCTGAGGTATTGGGCGTGGCTAACATACTTAACCACGCCCCTCCAGCTGTCAGTTTTGACATCAAACAGAAATGGTGAGCAGGAGGAGTCTGTTAGGTTGTGATAACTCTCCTCGAACCCTTTTAAAACCTACATTTCCCAATGTTGTTTCACTCTATGGCTTCGCTACACTTGGAGAGCGTCACCTCACCTTCCTGCGTTTGTCGCAAATTACGTTAGGAGCCTGGCCGGACGCGCCATGGCCCGAATCAAATCGCAAGGATCAAACATACCATTGTTAATATTAGGAGGAAAATAAATATATTTATGTTTTTTTGGGGGTCAACACAACGCTTGGACATACGTGTCAACATTGGGATGAGAAAATAAAGGATCGGCCCGCCATAATAAGGGATCCCACCCCCTTAAAAAAATCCCCAAACTACTAAATATGTTCATTTGGAGCGGTTTCATAGTAAATAAACAGTTAAATGGTCAGCAATATGTTTTAAAATTGTTATTAACAAAATAATAAAATAAACAGTATACATTAGCAGCAAATACATTACCAAACAGTTCAGCTTATTAAAATTAATATCTATTATAATGAAATAGAATCAAGCTATCAAATCTCATCAGCCGTTTCTCCACTGTATAACTCACACATTCTGATTAAAAAGCAACAAATTAATCTCACTTATTTAGATTTTTTTTTTTGATTAAATTAAATAAGAGGTGTCACTTTAAAAATGCACACATCTAACATTATAATGAAAGCATTCGACTGTTTTCCGAACTTTTTATGCTCATTTAAGACAAAATTAGTTGTGTTTGGAAAAAAATCCCACCAAGATCGACATCTTTATATGTTATTATTATTAATTATGCGTATATGTCTGTTTAAACACACACCCAAAACTCAGACTTTCACTCCGCTTCAAATCGCGTGTACAGAAACCGTTTGGGAATCAGCGTCTGTTTATCACCATGGTATCATCATGGTAGTCATGCACCATTATATGACTGTTTTGAGGATTGTATAGGAGGGGTGACGTCACCTGTAATGAAAAGGAAAGGGAATCCCACCGTTTTTTATATTTATGCATAAGTGATTTCATTCCTAAACAAAGCGAAAGCACAGAACAGACTCGCATTTAAGAGAAAGGGGGCGGCCCCTGGGGGTTCGGCGGTATGGGTTGCGTATAGGGAAGCTCGGCCCTTTAGAGAAAGACTGAAAATACTGGAGAAATACAGGAAAATATCTTTATGGGATGATAGCGGGATAGATCTGTAAAATATGGGAGAATCCGGGGATAAACGGGAGGGTTGACAGGTATGCATTTGAACAAAATTGAAGACCTTGTAAAAACATGACTAAGACTGTAATATGTTTTAAGGGCCCTAATCTTCTCATAATTGATTGATCAACTTTTAATGCTTTATAAGACACCACAGACACCATGTTTTGCATTTGTGAATTTAAAAGCATCTTTTTTATAACTCTGAATCTGCATCTAATTTCGGAGACTGCTACATTTTCAGCTGTATACATTAATGCAGCTTTTGAGACTGAAATAAATAGTGTTTTAAACCAACAGGCAACCCGGAGTGCTGAAATACAACTGAGTAAACTGGCAGTGGGCTGGTTATAGAGACCAAAACAAAGGCAGACGTTCTGGTGCAGAACGCACATCCTCAAAGGAGAATTGTTTTGCACTTAGCATGATTATTAAATATGCAGTGTTTCCTCTAAGAATTTTTCCAGCTGTGGCGGCAGGCCTTTTTTACTCAGATCTGACAACTACCCGTGGCGTTATTTCAATGACAAATGTCGTGAGCGCAGTATTACAATTCGAGATGGCATTCATGTAATACCATACGAGCATGCAAATCTCCTCTACTCATGCACAAAACTTCTTGCACGTCCCCTCAAATATACGCTGCTCAAGCGCAGATCTTGTGCGCTCTCAAATAAACGCTGCTGAAGTGCGATTTACTGCGTTTATGTAACAATTATTTCTCCAACATTTATTAGATATGCTAGGAATATTTGTGAATGTTTCTAATAGACCTACAGAGCGGTATTAATGCATCCTGAAGCGAAGTGAATCGGTTTTACGTCGTGTTTGCTGGCCTCACGCATCAGTCAGTCAGCTAGTCGGCACGCAACCCTAAAGGATTAAACAAACAGCGCACAGCACTACTACTACTGTTACATAAAAGTTCGCTCTGTAATAATTGACTTACCTTTTAACACGCTTTGGTGCGATTATAACTCGCTATTAAAAAAAAAAAAAAAAACACAAAAATGTTTTGAATAAGAAGCTGTCAGCCATGGCGGGATTAATTCTGGCGTGGCGCCCCGCCCTGGAAGAATGAATGTAGCGGAAACCATGATATCTGCAAACATTATGATATTTCTAAGATTTAGAAAAGTCAAAAAACGTCCACACAGCACTTTTAAAGTTAAAGTATTTTTTATATGTCAATCTTTAGAGAGTTAAACGGGGTTAATATGTAAAGTTCTGTTTTTTTCAAATCAAAAACTCCTCAGCAATAGTGGTGCTTGACTTACTCCTAGCTCTGCTAACAACCTACGTTTCTGCTCTTTTGTTTGTTTTTTTTAAGTCTTTTGTCCTAAATTGATCTTGGGTGAGCATCTGGAAATCCTTCCAGAATCTCAGGAGGCTCTGAGTGGTCAACAGACCATGACTGAAGATCCTCATTTCAACAAAAAAAAGTGGGAAACTCTTCCCCACACATCAGCCAGCTGAGGCGTGTTGGTTCTGCCTGGGCATGTGAAAGCTCGGCTTTACACCAAAAAACACCACATTTACCATTGATTGGATGTTTATATTTCAAGTAACCATCCACAAACATGTAACTGAAGGAACATTCCAATTTATTTAGGAACTTTTACAGCTCCTCTAGAGTAAAACAGTTGAGTTTTTACCATTTTTTAAGTCATTCAGCCAACCTTTAGGTCTGGTGGGAGCGATGTTAGCTTAACATAAATCACTGAATCAGTTTAGACCATTAGCATCTTGCTAAAAAAATAATAAGAAGTTTTAATAATTTTCCCATTTCAATTCAATTAATCTTTATTTCTATATCGCTTTTATACTGCATCTTTTTTGTTTTTTAATTTTCCTATTTAAAGCTTGACTGTTCTGTAGTTACATAGGCAATAAAGTTCCTTGATTATTATGCCAAAATCATAGCATAGTTTAGGGGTCACCAATCTCGTTCCTGGAGGTCCGGTGCCCTGCAGGGTTTAGCTCCAACTTGCCTCAACACTCCTGCCTGAGTGTTTCAAGTATACCTAGCAAGAGCTTGATTAGCTTGTTCAGGTGTGTTTGATTAGGGTTGGAGGTAAAATCTGAAGGACGCCGGAGCTCCAGGAACAAGTCTGGTGATCTCTAGTATAGTTGCTAGCAATATCAGCCTTGAAAATTGCAACTTTTAATTGTATGTTAGTCTTAGGCACTGTTTACACTAACATGTTTTAGTCTTAAAACGGCGTCCGAGTCCACACTAGTGTTTCACCCAGCGTTTCTGAACAAATCTCCGTCCACACTACATCGCTGAAAACGCACATCACCTGACCAAACACGTACACACACACTAACATGCGATGCAGCGTATGTGGATATCTAAACTCTTGGCAGTCGGAGAGCTATGCACGTCAGTCTGTTCATCAAGGACCAACCGCTGGATATAATCTCACTATATTTGTTAAACGTGATATTTAATTCATCTTGTTGTCTTTATCTAATATTCCCCGACTTTGGTCTTTTGAATATATTACATGTTCTCAGGTAACGTGTTTTGGCTGAAACAAACCTGTGATATAAACTTATTGTACATTATACTTTTATAATGCCCATTATTGAGTATTAAAACTGATATTCAGCAAAAGAGAGGGAATGTTTCATATTTTTTAATGAAAATGAAAGAAGGCAGTGATGTTATAGGCTCCGTTTTGTTATAAATATGCACACAGTAAAGATGACGCTCATATAAATATGCAGCTACACGACGCCTCAACATTTCTGCTGTATATTAAATTACTAATATCAAAAATAAATAGGCAGTTCCTTATATCATGTGTTCATTTATTGTTAAGAAAGTGAAACAGCATAGTAAAGGTGATGTGAATGAGGTTATAAAGTACACTGCTTCTTTGAAGATTTACCTGACATGTCCTCTGGCGTTTGTTTTCTCCTTGTAAGTTCAGACAAATGGAAGATGCAAGACTGAACTGTGTGTAGGCTACTTAATATTGAGGAAAAGACCCCATCAGATAGGCAAATGTCTGTAGTCCCGCCTCTGTTTTCAGATAACTACATTTTCCCCCATATAGAGTAGCACGGGGCAGCAGCGTTGTCTAACTAATGCGGCCTCTTCAGCATTTTCAAAAAGCTCAGTTTTCGGCTCTTGAAAACTCCGGTGTAGTGTGGCCGGAAGTTCTAACTGTAGCAAAACGTATGCGTTTTAAATCTAAAACGTATTAGGTGTAAACGGGGCCTTAGTACATAATGTAAATACAAAAAGCTCAAGCTTTATATAGGGAAATGATCAAACAAATTGAAATTTTGACTAGATGCTAATGGTCTAATCCGATTCAATAATTTATGCTAAGCTAAGCTAAAAGTGCTCAGTCAGTCCCAAAATTGGATAAATAAATTCAAAAATAGTAAAACTTAACAAGAGCTATAAAATGAGTGCCAAAAAAAAAGGTTCCTTTAAAACATAAATGGGTTACACCAAGGCACTGTAATAAATCAGACATCATTTGGATGTACCATCTTGCGGGGGGTCGACGGTGATGTCCTCAGTCTCTGTGTCATCCTTCATCTCTTCATCTTCATCCTCATCCTCCTCCTCCAGCTCGTTGGCGATCAGCTGCCGGGCCAGTTTAATGTTCATACCTTCATTATAATGCATCTTCCTCATCATCTGGAACTGCTTTTTTCTTGCTGAGGAAAAGACGAACACACACAGCTCTAAACCCACCAGTCCAGACCAAGAGAAAGACTAACTTCTGATCTTACTGGTTGTTGCTAGAAGGGATACAGTTGTGGCCGGAAGTTAACAAGAATTGTTTATATTATTTATTAAATTATCTATTAATTGCAATTTATTAACGTCTACCCCAACCCTCACAGTAATGTAAACATAGTAATTAGACTGAATATCATTTATATTATTCATTAATTTACCCATTAAATTGTATTTTATTAACATGTACCCTAACCCAACCCTCATGGTAATGTAAAAACAGTAATTATACCCAGTATTATTTAAGATTTAACCCATTATATTGTATGTTATTAATATCTACCTTACCCCAACCTTCATGGTCATGCAAAAACAGTAATGATACCCAGTATTATTAATTAATTTACCGATTATATTTTATTTTATTAATATCTACCCCACCTCAAACCTCACATTAATGTAAAAACAGTAATTATACCCAGTATTATTCATTAATTTACCCAATATATTGCATTTTACTAATAGTTACCCTGTCCTAACCCTCATGGTAATGTTAAAACAGTAATTATACCCAGTATTATTTAAGATTTAACCCATTATATTGGATTTTATTAATATCTACCCTACCCCAACCCTCTTGGTAAGGTAATAACAGTAATTATACCCAGTATTATTCATAAATTTACCCATTATATTGTATTTTATTAATATCTAACCCACCCCAAACCTCACAGTAATGTAAAAACAGTAATTATACCCAGTATTATTCATATTAATAATGAAAATACCTAGCCCTAAACCTACCCTTTACATTAATATAAAAATAAGCATTATTGTTGTACATTTTCACAAAACTGATGCTATATAGATGTGAGCATCTTTCTAGACCAGGGGTGGGCAAACTTGATCCTGGAGGGCCGGTGTCCTGCACAGTTTAGCTCCAACTTTAATCAAACACACCTGCTTAGAGATTTCTAGTCATCATGAAGACACTAATTACCATGTTCAGGTCTGTGCAGGACTATGCAGGACACCGGCCCTACAGGATCAAGTTTGCCCACCCTTGTTCTACACAATACCATGCAAGTGAAATGTAGCATTTATTATTCTAAAAGGGAGAATATTAGGTAAATATTATTTACTGTCATCATGGCAAATATGAAATAAATCCGTTATTAGAAATGAGTTATTAAAACTATCATGAAATAGAAATTAGAGAAAGAAATATACAGGAAGGCTTAGAATTCTGACTTCAACTGTGTGTGTGTGTGTGTGTGTGTCCGTGTGTCCACCTTGTTCCTCTGGACTGAGCTCTTCTTCTTCTTCTTCACTGCTCTCCTCTTCTGGCTCCTGCATGAAGCGAGACTCCGCTCCCTCTGCCGCCGCTGCTGCCAGCCTGAGCAAAACAACATCCACAGTGGCTAGTCAACAGCTATATATACCTGACATTTGAAAGATTTAAAGGTGACCTATTATGCCCCTTTATACAAGATGTAATACAAGTACTATGTAATACAGTGAGTGCTTGTGTGTGAAGTTTCAGCTCACAATAATGTCAAAATAACAAAAATAATGTTTAAGTCTCTGAAACTGACCCCTTTAAGGTTTTGTTCTAGAGATCTGCGTGGAACTAAATTTTCAATCCCACTCCCACCAGGTTTTAGTCCGAACCCGACTGCTCCAGCCTATATTCAGCATTTGTTGTCCTGCAGCCTGACCCACCCCGTTTTCTACCCGCCGCGCCTGTTCCCACTAACCCAATAACTGAGCGTCCCCGCTACCGCGCTTTATTTGGAAATGTATTCCCGCGCTGCAAGAACTCTGGTCGGGTCCCACTGCAGCACCGCGGGAATACAGACCTCTACTTTAATCTTGATTGTGGCGGTAACTGTCCGTTTAAATTCAAATGAGTTCTTTTTCTGAAGAGGGCGGAGCTACAAATGCCTGTGTGTCAGCATAGTGGCAGATTGAAAACACACTAGGAATATTTCTGAATGTCTCCAACAGACCTACAGAGTGGCAATAATGCGTCCTGAAGTGAAATGAACCGGCTATAAACTCCAGCAAGATAGAGGCTGCGTTCGAATCCGCATACTTCCATACTATATAGTACGCTAAAATCAGTATGCAAGCCGAGTAGTGTTTCCGAATACATAGAATACGAAAATCAGTATGCGAGAAGTACACGGATGACTTGCTACTTCTGGTGAGATTCTGGAGTGCGCATCCCATGCACGCTGTGCTATCCCATGATGCCCCGAGAGCGAATGCATGAATGGGAGTGAAGCGACGCAATTGACGCAGGTAGGTCACGTGACCATGACAAAATGGCGAGTTTAGTACATCCGAATTCATACTTTTCACGTTCATACTGTATAGAATGCAGTTTTCTAATGGCTGAGTAGTACGTTTAAATTAAAATGCAGTACCTACTGAGTAGTAGGCGGTTTCGGACGCAGCCATTGTATGCAGAACCACAGACCTTTATCTACAAAGTATAATCAGTCAAGCATGTAACCTCAAAGGTTTAAGGAAATAAAGCACATCACTATTACAGTCACAGAAAAGTTTGCGCTGCTAAAATTCACTTACCTTTTAATATGTTTTGGTGCGATAAACACCCGCTATTAAAAACAACAGCAATGACAGAATGTTTTGATTGAGAAGCTGTAATGTAGCCATGGAGGGATGAATTTTGGTGTGGCGCTCCGCCATGGAAGAATGAATGTATCGGAAACCATGTTTGGTCAATAAAAAAACAAAGAAAAGCATCTCTCAGGAGTAATCAGACACACACACACACACACACACTGATCGCTGGGTAGAGGAGCAGAAAATAAAGGAGCCTGAGGGAAACCCAAGATAGAGTGGTGAAAGAAAGACACACGAGGAGGACAATAATGACAAAAGAGAGGGAAATAAGGCTGAGCGGTTGAGTTTCTAGCTCTTCCTGGACGCTAACATCAGCTCAAGATACAGTTAGCAGCCTGCGGCGGACAAACCACTCACTCGCATCCATCTCCCGGCATCCATACAGCTAAAAGAACCAAATCCTGCATTAAAACCCACTGCTTCATTCATTCAGAGACCGACTTTCTCTCAGGGGAGAAGCTCTATAATCAGGAGAGATTTCCTGCTCAGTGAATGTTTTTAATTTCTATTTTATTGAGCAGTAGAGGGAAGAAAGAGTTCGCCTAAAAATGAAACTCAATCAATGCATTAGGCTTTGTGTGCAGAAGCTCGACTGATTTGAGAGTAAATGCAAACATGTAAACATCGATCTGCTATATTCTGCTGATTAAACACACTTGTTTTAATATAGGGCTGCCCCCGACTAAAGATATTCCTAGTCGACTAACACTTCTGCATTTTAGCGATTAATCAAATAATCGTTCATTTATGATATTAATATAATAAATTGCGTATATACTAGGAATATAGTCCAAGTTGAAGTTTAACACCTCCACATGACAGAAAATGCTAAAGCATGATATTAGCGCATTCAAAACGAAAATTAAGCGCTTAAAATGGAATAGTAAAGCGTTTAAAGTATACAGTGCTTACACACAAAAATCAGTGGCCGGAACGTTATAGGATAATTATGACATAAAAACAGCAATCAGACTGCCTGTGCATTTTAATAATTTATTATCAAAAATACAAACTGTAACAGTTACATGTCAAACAAATACAAAACAAACAAAAAAAAACATTTTTTAATAAACTAATAAACTAAAATTTGTTCTTTAAAATAAATCAAATAAACTTATTAGCAACTTAGGCCTAGTGCAAAACTAGGCAAAAAAACAAAAAACAAATAAATACTGTAGCAAAAACGCTGTTTGGTATAAAAATACAGTGGAAAATTATATATTTATTTATTATTTATTATATATAAATTTATATAATTTTTATATTGTTCAAAAGGAAAATTAACAAAAACGAACAACTTAATAAATGCACATCGCACAACGCCAAAACTTAGAATAAAAAAGGCGGCGGCAAACAAATTAACAGCCTAATTATGATTAAATTGTTTAGAACAACTATATTTAAGACAAAATGTAGAACAAATAATTTAAAGAACACTAACACAAATCAAAAATATCAGAGCAAAGCCACAAACTGCCATTAAGACGACGGATGAGTCTTGACCTGAAACAACAAATTAAAAACATAAGACTAATTTTTCTAACAGAATAAAAAACAACTTCTGCATTATATAAAAACGAAAAAATAAAAATAATATGTATTTATTTATTTGTATAGCCTACCCGATATAAAAATAAAATACCCGTTTTTTTATATATATAGCCTAACGGATAGCAAACAGAAACACTACAAAAAGGAAATTAAGCATTCTTACCTAAGCTTTTAATTCGATTTTATTTTTTTCATATTATGTGAGAGGAACACCAGCTTGTCCACATTGCTGGGAAGAAGGGAGCTTCTCGACTTGTTCACAATGAAGCCGGCCTTTGAAAAGATGCGCTCTGATGGAGTGGATGTGGAAGGGATACAGTGGAGGCGTTTAGCTGCTTTAGCGAGCTTTGGATATCGATGTTCATTTTTTAGCCACCATGCCAATGGTCCCGAATCAACCTTTGTTTTGTCTGCCAAGTACATTTTTAGTTCATCCTTCTCTTCTGCATGCTCCTCCTCATCAATGGCCATCAGCATGGATATCTCGGCCTGCTTTTCCTTTTTCGGTTCGGGCTCACCCTCCTCGGCAGGGCTAATGCTGCCATGCTCACTTTCTGGCGCAGCTTCTGTAGATAAACTTTCTGCCAGATCCGACACTGTGGAGTACGCATCTTCTCGTTCGTGTTGGTCAAAGAATGACAAGCTCTTAAAACGTGGGTCTAAGACAGCAGCTTGTATATAAATGCTGGTCGCAATATTTTCCGTCATTTGCCATCTCGTGTCGATTTCTTTTGCTAGTTCTGTCTTTAGTGCTTTTGTGGTGGGACTGTCTTCGTTGCGCAGCACCAAATGGCGTCTCTTCATGTTTATTAACATGGGCAGTGTGGCAGATAGGGATGCGTTTAAATCCTGAGAAAGCAGCTCAGTAAGAGTGATCATAGGCTTTAGCACTGCGACAGTGTCCTCCGCTGTCAGCCAATGTGCTGTTGTGAGATCTAGACCTCGTTCAGACCGTTTGGTAATTTTATGGTCTGACAGCACAGCTGTAACTGGCCATCTCTGTTCCAAGAGTCTCTCCAGCATGAAGTACGTGGAGTTCCATCTTGTGGAAACATCTTGGATAAGTTTGTGTTCTGCAACATTCTGCTGCTTCTGTTTATGAGTCAGAGCTGTTGTAGCCTTGGTACTTTTCTTGAAATGCCCTACAAGGCGTCTAGCAGCAGCGATGCATCGACATTTGGGGTCAGTTTTAAAAGCCACGTTTATGTATAACTGTAACGTGTGCCCCGCACAACGGACGCCCTTCGCATTACCCCAGGATGGATCATTAGAAATCAGTTCTGTGCACAACACCATATTAGCGGCATTGTCATGTACGACTGCTACCCTCTTTTCTCCAGGTATTTTAAATTCTTCCATCACTTCACTGAGTCGCTCTTTTATATTGGTTGCTGTGTGGCTCTCCTCCAGCACTTTTGTTTCCAACACAAAAGAATGTAGTTGCCAATCTTCAGACATGAAGTGTGCAGTAACGGTCATGTAACCCTCATTCTGGATAGAGGTCCACGTGTCTGTTGTAAAGCTGACTGCTGTACAACTTTGTATTTTCTTAACAAGAATTTCTTTAGTCGTGTTGAACTTGCTTGTTAAGCCATGCATTATTGTGTCGCGTTTGGGAATGGTGTAGCCTGGTTCGAGGAATTTAAACATTTCTTTGAACCCGTTACCACGGACAACGTTGATTGGTCTCATCAAGCGCAATAAAATCGACGATTTTCTCTGTGATTTCTCGCTTTCTTCTCACTTAGAGGGGGTCTCAAAACTAAACTCTGCTGCTTCATTGTTGACTGCGAAGTCGAAGCGCACGACGCCACATCATCACTGCTATATTGTGGATGAGCCTAGAGACAAATGCATGTCAAAAACCATGAAAATGATTTAACTTAACAACGCAAATGTGTTTATATCCTTATTGTTTAAACGAGGGGCCATGTGAGGTGGTTAACGTTACTACTTACATGTTTTAAATGATAAGACATATTCGATGTTGACGAGTGATAGGCAAATGTTTTCCTGCAGAGTTTGCAAACAGCCTTTTTAGGGTCGTCCTTCGACTTTTCAAAATGATCCCACACTTTGGACTTTTTTCCTGACATAATTATTAGCGTCAGTCAGACACCTCTCCCACAAGTGCGCTTTGGTATACCGTGAGGCGCGAGATCGCGTTAAACTGTCGTTGCTGATGTCATACACTGACTGCGCAGCCCTTGATTGCGTAATTTCACGTGATTTTTTTTTTTTTGCAACTAACCGACTAATGAAAATGTATTCGACCAAGCCCTCTTCATATCGACTAAAGTTTAGTCGACTATTTGGGGGCAGCCCTATTTTAATACGAAATAAAATGATTAATTTGTATTTACCTTCAATAGAGAGTCAAATCTTTCTCTACAAAGACATTTTACCTGGCTCAAATGTTTAATGCAAATAGTCGTGCTGATCAACAGAAAGCTGCTGATCTGGGTTTATCTTGAATATGATCAAGAGCTTATACGTTCCTTATTCCCTATACAAGAGTTCACACTTAGCTGATGATTAATTATAAAGCTTGTTTGGCATGCTGTCCAAGGAGAGAGCCCTGAGCTCATAAGATTCTCGAGCTAGGGGCTCCCTCCTGTTTGCAAGGCGGGGAGTTTGAGTTCAGGTAGATCTGAAGAACTCCCTTGCTGTAGTAGCTAGTGAACAGATAGCAATTGCTTTTAAGAGATAACTACTGACTAGGAGCATGTCTATGGTGCTGATTTGGATTAGTTAATTAACTTAAGTTGCATGTTTTTGGATGGTGGGAGGAAACCGGGAAACCCGGGGGAAACCCACGTGAGCACAGGGAGAACGTGTAAACTCTGCATAGAAATATTGGCTGGCTTGGTAAGGACTAGAACCTGTGACGTTCTTGCTGTGAGGCAACAGTGCTAATCACAGGGCCACCGTGCCACCCATCTAGGAAAGGAGGAGTAGGGGTGGAAGGGGGGATTCGTTAAAACGAAGATGGCTGTGATATAGAACTGAGGGTATTTATAGTGGCTTCAGAAATCGTCTGATTGGTGAATCATAAATTGAATAATGCAGGACCAGCTGTGATCAATCATAAGCACATGATCCTCTGGACATTAGTTTATAAATAAACTCCACGTAGACGGCTATGTAAGATATTATCACACGCTTGTGTAAATATCAAGGTACAAATTGATAAGGCAGTGTACCTGCACTATCATCAGCCAAACTGTGTGATTGAGGAATAATAACTCAGGGGGTTTAACCAACTTTAGTTTAACCACACCAAAAAGTCATTTCTTTCAGTGTAGTAAGTACACGTACTGTAAACAATTAACACTACTCAATAGTTAAGCTGCAACTACTTTACCTTAAAATAAAGTACCTTGACTAGACTGCATTAAAGACGCATCTAGGCTGTGAAACCATGATGTCTAGATGGTGAAAGTATGCTAAACACAGCCCTATTGATCTGCAATGTTATCATCAGCCATGGCTCGCTGCTTGTGGATCAATGCTCAGGCCATTATGAGCGGTTTTGCTGACACGCGGCGTGGTCTGCATATCAGAGAAACACATGTCAGCTTTTTCACCAGCTGTTTAAGAGTCAAACTCCAATCAGACAGAAGAGGACGAGCAGAAAGGATTGCGAAAGAGGTTAGCGAGTCTGCCCTGGGCTGGGACGGGACATCTGGTCTCCCTCAACTCTTTTCTGCATGCTCATCTGTTCAGGCTTTCAGAATTAAAAATACACTCGTGTCTTGCACACATTTCACGACACTGACAAAGAGTGAGGAGAGCAAAAATAACAGCGAAATGCAGCAAAAGTCAAATTCTGCAATCTTAGTGAATCAGCTACGTCAGTGGCGATGATCAATCCACAATAATTTAGCGGCTGCATTTTAATAATAAACTAATTAATTGAAAAATTTTGAATTTACGCAAGTCAACTTAAATTAATAATATCAACAACTAAATCACATTGGGGTGGCCACAGGGGGCGCCCTTGTAGGGAAGTGTGTGATCAGGGCTCTTTGTTTATTCAGATGGTAAAGTTAGTCCGTATCGTCAGCAGTACACTTTCAGTGTTGAAAGACAGACCTTATGCATGATTTTGGTCCTGATTTTGACTTGCCGACAGGATTTGAAGAAATCACAGACAAATCGGTGCTCGTTCACGTGAATGACAATCACACAGTAAGACCTTTCAAAGACGTGATGTGAGAGAATCGCCAATGCCGATGCCTGCGAGATATTTGGCGTGCTGAATATCTGGAGCTGTCAGCGATTCAAATCATGTCGTGTGAAATGAGTTCTGATTGAAAAAAACATCTGCGATCGCCTACAGCCTAATGAGAGAGCAGCATTCACTAGTGTGTATCTGCAGGCCAGCGGGAGATTGAGGGAGAAATTAAATCGCTCAGTTTCAGTTTATTTAGAACCCAAGAAATGGAGGAAAAAGTAGTGGAGGTTTGACAGGAGCACCCGTGTCTGTTTGACGTTTGACACAGAAATTTGAGGAGAAATTGCTAACTCCCTTCAAACCCAGGTGAGCAAAAATACATTTTCCACCCCATTAAAGGCTTCTTTCTCGTTATGTAGTTAATAACAAAAGATATACGACGTGTTTTTTGGCTGTGAGACGTAGTTTGGACGAAGTTGTATGCGATTCTCCATATTGTAAAGTCATGCAATGTGAAAACCCCTGTCGCCGATCCATCTTGCCGTGTAAAAGCAGCGACAAAACACTAGCCCAGATCATGCAGTGTGAAAACATCTGTGAGACGACTACTTTCAAATTCATGCAGTCTGAACTCGGCATTAGTGGAAATAATTTAGTTACCAAGTTTACAGTACCTTAATATCACAACAATATTATAGACTGAAAGATCTGCTGTAAATGCTGCTCTCCGAGTGTGAACATGTAAACAGAAACTCCGCAATAAACCATTACTGTGGTGTAGGATTTTTGCCGCATAGTCTACACACACACACGGCTGTTTGCCGCTACTCTCTGTACCCAACGAGTCTCTACATCTACTGAGAAATGCAGAGGGTTTTTTTCTCCCTATCGCCGTGCGTTATCAAATTCCATTAAAACTACACTCTTCCAGCAGTTCCTCACATCCAATATCTCATTTGTCACGAGGGGCATGCATGAAATGTTCAAGAAGCAACTCATGCAAACACTTTAATCATATTATTGTCTTATTCACACTAAGGCAAATCATTCGAATACTAATGTCCATGTAAACGTAGTCACCATCGTTCTCCCCTGCGTCTGTGTTTGTGCCATGCACATAACAAAACTCCCCTTTATGCAAACCCGTCCCTCTTTCGCCGATGAACACTCCCACCTGAACAAAGCTGGACTCATCCACTTTCCTGACTTTTTTCAAACTAGAGGTGTGAAAACACCCTGCTGAGACAGAGGCGGGTTTCAAGTCCCTTTAAATCAGAATTCGCCATGGGTATGATGAATTTCAGGCTTTAGAAAACATGGAAATGTTTGCACTATTAAGACTAAATAAATATTGAATTCATTTAATTGGACTGCTTATCCTGCTTCACAGCACCCAATTCCAGCCAACCAAACTCTCATTAGAAATGATGCCAACAATGGAGACTATCAATTTTTTCAAAACATCGTGGGTATGTTTCTTTTTCTATTTTTCCAGTCAATGTCAAACCCATGTCAATTTTCCAGGTTTTCCATGACATTACAAACTCAGAGAGAGGTAAAAAGTGTTGATATAGTGGAAGTTAAAGCACAGATGTGAATCTCTGCTGAACTGATGATGCATCATGCATCACTTACTTCTGAGCGAGGTCATCGCCGGGCAGCGCCGTGTTCCCCTCCGAATCGCTGAGCGCCCCCTCGTCCTCCTCATCGCCCACCATCCTGAGAGAAAAAGCAGAGTTTTTGGCTGATTGCCAAACACAGCATGACCTTTACTGCAAGTTTGCCCTGTCATATTGAGTTGCAGCCTCAGTGCTGCCCTTGTATTTTGCAGACAGGGCAGTAACATATCCAGAGAGAAGAGCCAGACAGTATATATATTAACAATCCATAGAAGACCCTCAAACAATTACTGCTCACTCTCCAGCATTAAGGGCTACAGGCTAAGCTATAACTATATAAACACTTATAAGCACAGGCAGAATCTGCATGGCAGAAATACGCAGGAAGCTAAACAGATTTTTAAGTGATCATTCAACTGGTTTAAGTCTATTACATGTAAATTCATTTCTGTGATATCACTGATTAAAATGCAAATGTACATGAATTATTTACAACGACTGCACAGTAAAGTAATACTATTTTGTCTTTTAGTGTGTGTATTATATGACAGACTTACTGTAGTGTTTACCTAACAAGTGCTTCTAACAGGTTTTTGCAGTACAAACATATTATACATTTTAAAATATTGTTTTTTTTATTGTAAGTGTTCAATTTTAGCCCCTAAACTCAAAAATTTTACTAAAAATGTAATCAACAAAAATTGTATTAAAATTGTAATAACAAATACATCAGCAGATTCTGTTTGGCCCCATAATAATATTAATAATAATGATAATAATAATAATAATAATAATTTTAATTATAATATAATAATACCATTAATATAAACAATAATATTAATAATAATAATAAAAACAACAACAACAACAACAACAATAATAATAATGCGAATAATTAAACTGGTAAATCTGGTTTGGCCAGAAATAATAAGCAAATCCTTTTAATCCAGCATCATCAATATTTAGATGCTTTTTTGTTTGTTTGTTTGTTTGTTTATTTATTGCCACATCAGCAACTTCTGACCAACACATTTACTCAATTTTACATTAAAATCTTCAAATATGACTTAACAAATAACATAAATTAAAAACATCCATCAAAGCACTCTCAGTGTAATATCCCTGTCTGATAATGTCTAAAAAAAATTCACATTCTTATGAAATATATTTAATGGTTAAAAAAAAGCCTGACAGTGGTTAGATGCTGGTGGAATATTAGGATGCCATAGACCCCAAAATAATAATCCTTAATTGACGGACACCCATCTTCACATTTTTTTCTCATTATTGAATGTTTTGCCTCATTTAACCTTTATTATTTTAATTTATACAAAACCTATCCAACTATAATGGATATCTGTAGACTGTGGGGGAAACCAGAGCTATATATATTCATTATTATATAATATTCGATTAAATTAAAATAAATTATAGTTTGACACTTTGGATCAGTAGCATTAATTAGAGTACTTATTTAACCTTTTTATATTAATGTTAAATTTATAAAAACTGTTAATAAAAAACTTGTGTATTTATCTTGATAATTAATATATTTGACTATTGTTGTACATTTTGTATGATTACAATTTATTAGAATCTAATTTAACCTTTTTATATTATGCATTTTCTTCCACTTATCCTGCTTTTTTATATTAATTATTTAAAAATGATTAAAATTGTTAAATAAAAATGTTAGTTTACTTACATTTTGGATCACTGATATCTTATTTAACCTTATTTAGATTAAATATTGTGTAATTAATCGTTAATTCGATATCTTTGTTCATTTATCCTAATAATAATAATAATAATAATATATATATATATATATATATATATATATATATATATATATATATATATATATATATATATATATTTAATTGTAAAGCTGAATGTGTTTTGTTAGTTGATTTTATTAAATGAACCCAATTAAGCATTTACAAAATTATTTTTGCATTTCCTCTAAATATGCATGGACTACATGAAGCATACTCTGGACCTCCATTTAATAATTCAATCAATCATAACTGCTCAAACAAGAGCAAGTTTCATATTTGATTTTTCCCCTGAATCTGCACAGTAGCATTTTGAACAACCACATTACAAACTAATAGTGTTCTTCAAAACCACTAACAGTCTAAAATGCATTAATGGCATGTGTGTGTGTGTGTGTGTGTGTGTGTGTGTGTGTGTGTGTGTGTATAGAGTCTAAGTAAAATTTTTATTAACTTTTTTTATATTTTACTTATATAATTATATAACTTTTTATATATATTTTTATAATATTTTTTATATTTTATACTTTTTTATATTTGTATTAATATTATTATTAACTTTTGAAAGATAGAATGTTGTTGAAAAAAAGATTAAGATCTCATTTTGCAATTCAAAAGCAGAAATAAACAGGGAGAAGTAAAAAAATAAAATAAAAACATGAACCACAAAATACAAAAAAACCCTGCTAATTTATGGATATTAAAAACGTTAATGGTTACACTTAAGTGATCAGTACATTTTTATTCTTGTCTGAACTATCCCTACGATAGCATATTTATTCAATAGGTAAATTACCTATATGTGTAAGTGCTGTATCTTTCCTATAGTCAGGTTATTTGTATAGCACTCACCTGTGGTATGGCGTGCTGGGCTCGTCAATCTTCATCAGCCCGTAGTCCTTATCCGCCGGGTGATATGTGGCCAAAATGTTCATTTCATCCCATTTCTGTGACTTTTTCCTGCAAGAACGCGATGAAACACAGAGCTTAACATACAATTATAGATAAAGCTATTAGCCCTGATGCAAACGGCTCCGCTGAGATCTCTGCCACATTAAACCCAGGACTTTGCCCCACTTTAGAACTTTATCAAGTAGCTTGGAAACGGCAGAGAGAAATAAATAGCAGCAAGTGGCATACATAGTCAAATATACTGAGCCTTAATGGTATTAATGATAAGAGCAGCAGATGAGGCCTTCTCTCAAGTCTTAGGTCAATCAGTACATTTAAATGGACACCGAAACTCTGATTTTAATTCAATCAGGATATTGGAAAGCATGGTGATGTAATGACGTTAATCGACTTACGTACTATAACATACAGTTAGAATTATTCGCTCCTTCCTTTTAATTTTATTTCTTTTTTAAATAAAAGATGTTTAACAGAGCACGGAAATTTTCACAGTATGTCTGATAATATTTTTTCTTCTGGAGAAAGTCTTATTTGTTTAATTTTGGCTAGAATTAAAGCAGCTTTTTAATTCTGCTCAATATTATTAGCCCCTTCAAGCTGTTTTTTGATAACCTACAGAACAAACCATCGTTATAATATAACTTGCCTAATTACCCTAACCTGCCTAGTTACCCTAATTAACCTAGTGAAGCCTTTACATGTCACTTTAAGCTGTACAGAAGTGTCTTAAAAAAAGTTCTAGTCAAATATTATTTACTGTCATCATGGCAAAGAGAATAAATCAGTTATTAGAGATGAGTTATTAAAACCATTATTATTAGAAATGTATTAAAGATAGGGTTGTCAAAATTAATTGTTTCTTTGGTGCACCGCGATGCAAACGTGGACAATTCGGTATCGGTTTAGTAATAATCATAACCGGTTATTACTGACGTAATTTACCTCATATGCGCTCTGTCGCGAGGGAGGCGAGTATTTACAACGCTCTAACTACTTAAAACTCATAAACTGTGCACAATTTCACTGTGTGTGTTTGCTGGATCAATCTTTCACTGACATATACAACAAAAGACCCTATTTCACGGAGATCGAGAGAATGAATGTACTCCATTTTCTCTCTCTCTCTCTCTCTCTCTCTCACACACACACACACACACAAACACACACACGCGCACGCACGCACGCTCGCACGGACGCACGCACGCTCGCACGGACGCACGCACGCGCACACACACACACACACACACGCCCATTTGACCTGCTAGCGTGACTTTTCTTCTCCTCTCGGCTGTTTTACAGTGTTACTTCTGGATACAGAAACGAGCGTGGGTCTGCAGAGTTTTCTCCACCGTGTTTATCATGCATCAGCTGTGATCGCCGCTGCCACCTGCCGCTTATTAGTATCACTCATCTGTGAAGAACGCAGCACGCAAGAGCCAATCGCAACCATTTTTGTTGAGGGTGTGACCAATCAAAGAGGTGTAAGAGAACTAGACAAGGATCAGAAAGTGAGCTTGATATTTATATTTGTTTATATTATTTGCTAAATGCTCCTGTTGTTTAAAGGTACAGTTTATGTATCTGACTGTATTAAATGAAAAAATTGTATTACAAATAGCATATAAATATAAATATTTTCATACATTTTAATACAAGAACTGCTGCTGTGAAGAAAATATAAAACTGTATGAAAAGCACCGTCAATGCACCGTGATGCACCAAAATATTGAATTGAACCCAATCGATGGCATGATAATCGTAACCGAACCGAACCTTGAGACTAGTGTAGGTTCACAGCTCTAGTTGAAGAAATCTGCAAAAGAAATTGGGGAAAAAATAAACAGGGGGGCTAATAATTCTGATTTCAACTGTACATAAGAACATAAAGGGAACATTTTTTAAAGCAATTCATATAAACAATGTAATCATACGGTCTAATTCTGATAAAGGTAAATACGTTTAAAAACAAACAAACAACGGTTGCATTAAATTTAAATGGACAACATCGATACCAACCCATCATTCTCATCCCTCTTCTTAAATGGGATGGTGAGCCGAATCAAAATTTAACATGGACCAACTTTGTCCCGCGGGACCTAGTTAGGGCATCTCTGCTCTAAAACAATGATTTGTTTTTCAATTTTTAAGCAAAGTCGCTTTAAAAGCAACTGGTATATTCACTTTTACTTTAAATGATTAATTACAGCCTTAACATCTGTAATCCTCCACTACATCCAAAGACAGAGAAGCTTCACAACACAGCATTTTATTGGCCTTCAAGCAGTTTAACTAAAGCAACAGTCTAGCTTTCGTAGGCTGAATGGGTGTTCTCTGTGCATTCGGATGAATTCAGTGACAGAAATGCAGTGGACTGGACCGCTAATGCTTCAGCAGTAGCAGTAAAATGTGCCAATCCACATGGAAGAAGGACAGTTACACAACCGCCGATTGCAGAGGTGCTGTGTTACAAAGCCAGCGTGGAGAAATCCACTCAAACCTGATGCCGGATTTAAAACATGACGATTTTTAGCCAGAGCCTTTCAAAGCGGAGGCTAAGATACTGTTGTTTTGACAAGAGGATTATTTTTAGGTATCTTGTAGAGAGTTGCTGGACTCAATCAGTGCAAGATTTACTGCTCTAACGTGCGCTGAATAAAAGTAAAGCGGAGTCCAATCGAGTAATGCTAATCTCTTCATGTTCCCTCACGAAATAATCAAGAGATTATGTTCATTCACGTTGGGAGAACAGTGATTTACTGCATCACATGGGTGCATATAGTGCACTGTTGCATGTAGCAGGTCATGCTTTTACTCAACGGATCATCGGTTACAAAAACAGTACATGAGCAGCAGTATGTAGCGGCTCAATGGGAGAACAAACACAATTCAAGGAACTTGTCTGTGGTTTCGAGAGCTGAACACTGTGAAAGTTTATGATTCAAGCAAGCTTTTTATCTCCATGGGGATAAAAGTCCAGGAAAAACAACAGAGATCAGGGCAAAGATGAGATCTACAAGTTGGTACAGGATATCCTCCCTAATAGAAAAATGAGTTGCCAAAGATTGGATTGTCAATGCAACCCAGCACAGGCTTCCAGTATCCGTAGTTTCAGGTGCTGCGCATCTTGCATCTTCAAACCATTGTACAGATCATTCTTTTTATTATTAAAGAGGTGGAGACACAGTTTTGTAAAGGCAATGCTATAAAAATGTTTTGCAAAAAATGTATCGTTTAAAAAAAAAAAAAAAATATATATATATATATATATATATATATATATATATTTATATTTATATTTATTTATTTATTTTTTTTTTGCACTGCTTGATTTTTATTTGCAGTTCTTTTTTGTTTGCAAATTTAATTTTATTACTCAAAAATTTTCCTATTGCGGTTCTTCATTTTTGTATGCAAAATTAATTTTTATTTCTCAAAAATACATTTTTAAATTGTGATTTTTTAAAAATTTGCATTTAATTTTTTTTTACTATTTGTTTGCAAAACTTTTATTTTGCAAGTACATATGGCCTTAAATTGACTACTTAATGCACAGGTGGTGACTGGAATGAGCATTAAAACCGACAGCTAAAACAGAGCATGACTACCGAGTGTGCTATTAAACTAGTGTGCAACTCACCTCTCAGTTTGAGTATCATGCTGCTTGTTTAGGAGGCGCTTACAATTACCATTTTACAACTTTACTATCAGTGGAAAACAACGAAACCTCCATAGACTAACACTGAACGAAGGGCCTGAGCCATATCCACAAACTAAAATAGCAGATACTTGGGGTTTAGCCAGTTCATGAAGCCTAGCAACCACCCAGAATACCCTAGCAACCGTGTAACGCACCAGAAGCCACTCTAAACACCTTAACAAATGCCCTGTCAACCACCCACACGCTCACACTGCACAAGCAAACACTCACGTTTCCTTCAGAATAGGCAAAGCTGTTTATTATACACACCAAGCGGTTTTATAATCAAGTTTTTAGAAATTATTTGCGATTCCAAACTGCACAGAGCCACAGCAAAATACAGCAATAGTGGCTAAAATTAAACGTAGTTTAGATTATAGCATGTTTTAGATATAAAACAAAACATAGTAATATTTAAAAGACTTCATGGTATTGTAGTACCTGTTTTCATCATTAAAAGACAGATATAGCAATTAAATTATTTTACGCAATTCTCTTTCCATGTAATTTCAAAACTCAAGAAGAAAAAATAATAATGTTCTTAAATGAAATTTCTGCAATAACTTATAACAACATACAATAATAATGTTTTGTAACAAAAAAAAAACTGCTAAATTAAAGAATTAGTTCACTACCAGAACAAAAATGAACAGTTTAATCACATTTTGGGACATTGCCTTAAACAGAATTAGTATGGCAAAAAGCACATTGAAAAAAACTATAAGCTCAATATTCTATCATGTGAATAGGATGGAAATATTTGGTAAATAAATCTGTTCTTTCACAAAAAATAATGGGCTGTTTGCACAGCTAGAGTTATAAAGCCAACGATAAACTTCCAGTGAAAGCGTAATGTGAGTATTTTCAGTTTCACAAGGTTGTTTTTACAGCAACGATGTTGTAATGTAAATACATTCAGTTAAACAGACTTAAGCGCTCAGTTGTTCAAGCGTTTAACGAGATGAAAGACCGTTGTAACCACTAGCGCCCATCAGTAGCAACAGGCTCGCACAGAAATTCCATTGAAAATACTGTGGTTAAATAAACCATCTTATTTAAAAGACATGGAGGGGGAAAAGGACGTCTAGTCTGATCTGAGACCCACTTCATATCGTGCATCTATCAGGCAGTGAAGATCGCTTATGTGCGAGTGATGCTGCGAGTGATGCTGTTGCAACCTGCAAGTGTGACTTGAAAAGTACATTAACACTGTTTATTTGACTGTGAACAATGTTGTACTTTGATAGTCGTTGGCTGCTAATATGATTTCGCTATTTAGAGTTTGCAAATATCTGAATGTGCAAATATAAAAACAATCTGCGTAAATATTGAATTCTATTGTTGGCTGCAC